CATCACACTCGAATCATCCTTCCAAGTGAATTTTTTAATATAACAGTATCCCAACATATGATTCAGTCTGCATCTGCACCTCAATGCCTTTGGCTTTCCCCATGATGCTCCCCCTCCCTCCCAGCGGACTGGCGGCTATGCGAATCAGAAAGCCCGAGATCACCCCCATCTGGGATCAGCCTGGGAAGGCATCTTTTCCAAGATAGGAAAATGAACGTGTATCTGACTAGCATGGTCATGCATCGGCCGAAAGTGACGTGAGCCCCTCGAGGATGGTGGGGGGGTAAAGGAACGCATTAGACTTCCGCTGCTGCATCATGGGAAGGTTGACATCATCTTCACATCTACATGTCCTTCCTGCGGCAGGGAAAGACCCGTCAGGATATGCAGGCGCAAACCCAACAATTCAATTATCAAATCAGTCCCCGCAGACGACCAACAGTAGTTCGACTGCGAAGGGGGTCATGCTGCAGTCTAGAATGATTCCCGGACCAGAGCATCTGACGAATTCAAGACCAGAGAGGACCAGATCCACTCATCAAGGCGCACATCTGGCGACTGTTCTCTCGCTATCATGTGTCCTCGACACCGGATTGAACGGGAGTGGAAGAACCAGGATTGGCATGGCCACGGGCAGTCCAATATGATCGCGCCGATATCAGAGTTCGGGGAATCACCCCCACCAGCTTGGTCTGACCGTTTGGCACCTGGCGCTGTTTGGCTGGAGAAGGCTGCGCAGGATTAGTTGATCCATGAGCCACCTGCTCCTGTCAGGGGTCGCCGCAGTTCCCAAAAGCGCATCCTTTCCCACGTCAAACATCATCCTGCTGCGGGTCGCTGGGATCAACAAGGTGTGTCAGAGTCCCGGAGCCGACATGCGGAAGCTAAAGAGATGAACATGCAAGAACTGCTGTGCCGTCACAGGCACGTTGGGTCATAGCTCTGACAGTGACCAATGTCTGAGCCCCAGAACCTTGACGCAGTTGGTGATATCAGTGACATCCACAAAGCCTGAACACAGAGCCTGACTGCCTTTCCCTTCTCTTGGCTCCAGTTGTTGGGAATAGCTCGGGGGCCAGAAGTTATGCGACATCAGCGCGAGCCAGCAACCGAGCGGTGCTTAGCTTAGTCCCCCATGGGACTGGGGGATTACGGCGTTGGTGTGATAGTGAGCTAGGTCTGTCTACCATGACCGAGGCTTACTGGAGTAAATCGGCAGTGCCAGCCAGACCGTCTCCGCCTATCGATTTTCCATGATCAACCACCAGCAGCTAGGCTGAATGGGAAATGCCGGGCTGAGGCAGCGAGAACATGGAGTTCGCAAGGTCGGCACAGCACTTGCGGCGCTTTTACCATGGGCCTCTGCGTGTTTCACTGAGCCCTTTCAGCCGCTGAGTTGCCGCGCCACTCAGGGCGATACGGCGCAGGGCCCGAAGGCGCTAAAACGGCGACGGTCGACAGGTTTCGACCAGCGGGCACGGCCATCTTTTAGCCGCCGTTGGCTCCCGGGAGGGGGAACGGCGCCGGTGATGGGACCGACGCGCGATGGTTCCTGGCCTGAACCTGGGTTTTGGCCTGTTCCTGAAGGGGGCTTGGTTTTCTAGTCGCTGTGGTTGATTCTTGCGCGCAGCTCATGTCAGCCACGTGATCCCGGGCTTGTTTGAGCCGCTTGGCTTGCTTGGCTTCATACTTCCTTTGTCTTTTTTCCCCCTTCAGAGACTCCCTTCGTCTCGTTCTCACGCCTCGTTTTTATTCCAGGGAGGGGGCCTGCTAGTCGCATTAAATTGTTCACTAGTCAGTCCTTTCAAGTCAACCCTTTACCATGGAACCCTCCCCCGGACCACCATCTCCGCCCGTCGGGTGTTCCCAGCTTCCCGTTCCCTGAAGCTTCCGACTTCAACCCCGTGGTCTAATCTTCTCCACGAGCATTGCTGTTTTCTAGCGGCTTCTTTGGCTTCTTCCAAGCAAGGGGGAAAGATCCGGGTCATTTCAAATGAGAAGCAGATGTGGCTGCCCAGCTCAAGATTTCCCGAGGAAGGGAATTCTAGAAGGCGATCTCCGAGGGGAAGCAAGAAGTTGCAGCTGCGGGAAACAACCATGGAATTCCGGGGGGGTGGTCATGTGGCCTGGGGAACATAACCAGAAATCCACGGGGAAAGAATAGAAAAAATAAAAGAATGCGGCGACGACTTGGCAGGCCCGCTTCATTTTCCTCCCCAAGAATGGACACAAAACTCACTATGTTCCTGACGTTGCCTCTTATCGCCTCTTTACTCCCACGTTCCTCAGAACTCGTCACGGGACGGTTCGGTCTCAATCAATAGTGTCTTGGCCATGGCTCTTGGTTGCTGATCATCCGAGGCTGGGTTCGGAGTCGTGGCGGTCCTGATGCTTGTGTCGGGGACCCCCAGGCCCAGCTCGCCCAACCAGATCGTCCACCGCATCCTGCTCGGGTATGACTATTGCCAGAGCCAAGATATGCAAAGGAAGGGGGGATTTTCAAGGATGACGTTCTCAGCCCCTCCTTTGTGATAGTCCGTTTCGCAGGCATGTGAATTACAGCGTGTCCCGGTCCACCGTCGGGTATGAGGAATAGGCAAGCCACTGCTTGTTCCTCCACTTATCTGCTTTCTGCAGCTGGGCTAGAATCGGTAGCTCGCCTGATCGACACCATCTCCGGTCAACCCCTCTTCCCTGCGATAATGGCTTGGCTGAGCTCTGCCATAGCTATATAAGGGTGGCCGATTCCAGCCGATGAAGTGCTCATCCATCCTCTTTCTTCCAAGCAACTCTGCAAGAAAAGCTCTCTCTCTACTTGATTCCAAGTCACTTCAAGACTCTACCGTTTCAACTACTTCCAAAGACTCCTTGTCCGACTCATCCATCAATCACCATGTACTCCTACACCCCCACCTCCAAGTTCCTTGTCCTGGCCCCTACCGAGACGGCTCCTCTCTCTACCTCGACACAGGTTCGTGAGCGCTCCAGCAGCCAGTCCTCCACAGCCAGCGGAACCACCCAGCGCCCTGGATTCAGCCGTCTCCCCAGCGGCTTCCTCTACCTGGGCGTCGACACTCGCGACGCCGCTTCGCCCAGCAACTAAGCTTCTGGCAATAGAAGCAGTTTCAATTCGACGAATCGCGCTGGACACGATTTCCTTGCCTCGCACCTCATCGTCTGACGGGGACTAAAGTCTCACCCCGCAGACCGAAGGAAGATCACTACTAGTTCTTGTCACGGATATCTGACGTTATTGGACGAGCGACCATTCGGGGGAAACGAAGTGCGGGGCCCGATGTTTTCTTTTTTTTGGGTTGCAAGATTTATTACTTTTGCTTTTGCCAATATTACTCTACGCCAAGTCTACATCTCATGTTCATAGCCTCTTGCACAATCACAATGATACCATACTCCTTGCCTGGGCCGCGCTGCCCAGACAATCCTGAATGACTGCCAAGGGTCCATTGATATGTGCCAAGCATTGTGCCATCAGATAAACCGTAGTTCCTGTTGCACAGCCAAGCAATGATAGATTCTGCCGATCAACCCTTTTTGGACCTGCCAAGCCAGCGTGACCCCTTGAATGATTTGCCTTGTAGTCTACGGTGTACGATAAGAAGGGGGAGAAAAAGTAAACAGAGGAGCAGCTGAACCCTGAACCTAGTAGTAGTCCTGAAATTAGTTTAATTAAACATGGCTGCACACCGTACAGCGTACTCCGTCCATGCGTCGGAGTAAAAGGGCCCGACAGGGTTCCAGAGATAACTAGTGGCCATGGCAGCTAGCAGATATGCTATCTGGACCAGACCAGACCAGAACGGCGCGATCTCAGATCTAGCCCCAGCCCCAGCCCCAGCCCCGGTGACAACTTGCAGTATGGATGTGCTGGTCACGGGGTCTGCACAGAACTGCAACTTGCCTCTCCGGATGCTGAGATACGTACATCCGCTGCTGCTGCTGCTGCACCCAACTCAGCCCAACTCCCACACCACTCGCTATGAAGTAGGTTTACTTCTTATTACTGACCTTCTTTCTATATTCTTTTCCTTGGTTTGTTCATCTATCTATACGATGATTCCACCAATGCTATATTCCTATTACCAAATCGAGTAAACTTACGCACGCACCCATCTAAGCATAATAGCCATCTACTATAGTAATATTGATAACGAGTTATATCATATGTCTAATGGTGATACACACCTTCAATGACCTTATCATCCCACTGACCACCCCCTTCCTTCTCTAACCGAGCCCACACTTACATACATACTACATACACATTACAGAAACAAATGCATCCGGATATGCATGTCCGCGTACGTCTGCACACCGGACTTGGCTGTCCATGACACATACTACTGACATACTTGGATATTCCAGTCTACCTTGGGGGTAGTACTCCATGATTGGAAGAGCTTATGTTTACGAGACTACTATACTACGGAGTAAATAACCCTTTTATCCGAGTTATGACCCTCCCTTTCCCCTCGGATTGAATTGTCATGATGCAGGATGATGGACAAATGGATGGATGGGTGGATGGACGGACGGTGTTTCACCGAGATGATCATCTATTACTTGCTTTTCTTCCTGGATTCTTCTTGATTCGTTTGCTTTCCTCCTGTAGAAAATTTCCGGTCGGTGAAGGCAGCTAACTAACTATTGACGGGATTATATGACATAAGAAATAAGTAGGGTTTCTTTTCTATTGTCGTTTTGGACTGGATGGTGTGGTGTGGTGGGGGGAAGGGTAATGCTTATGCTTACTTATGGTTATGCTTACGCTCATGTTAAGGTTTATGTCCGTGGCTGGCTGACGAGGAAGAGGGAAAAGTAAAATAAAAAACAAAATGATGACAATGGTAAATGTAGAAACGATTAACAGCCACGCCACCTCCCCCACGTCTACAATAAGACATATCATATCGATCGGTGTGGGAAGGAGCAAAAAAGGAAATGACAAGAGTGGGATTCGAACCCACGCCATCTTACGATGATCAGGAAGCTGTGAAGCTGGGTATTAAGGTGGACCTTAACCTGACGCCTTGGACCAACTCGGCCATCTTGCCTTGTTCATGTAATATCTTCTGATTTAATGTATTATTAGTGGAATGAAGAGTAAGTCGGGGCCGACCATTACCATCATTGACTTGTTAACCCTCCGGTTTCGATAGTCCAGACTAGTCTGCTGGATAGTACAGCCCGAGTTGCGTGATTCGCGCTAGTTTCACCTTAGGATCCACTGCGATGGTATCATCTCTTGGGGTCGGAGTCGGATGTTTAATTGTGTTTCGGACCAAGGAGTGACCTACTGCCAGCTTGACATCCCGTCTGAAATATTTATGTTGATGTTGGAGCGTGATGGTCGCACGCATGGTTAGCAACATTACTTCATACTAGTCAATAAGTAGCATCTGTCTGGTCTCGTCGCTACCATGCAAGCGACTGCTGTTAGTTAACTAGTACTCCGTAGTGGTTTCAATATAGCCGAAGTCTCGCAGATCCAGTATATGATTGGTGCAAAAAGCCGAGATATTCTACCGGGATAGGATCAGACGCACCATCTACTGTCAGGTGAGCTTGTTAGTATATCGCTAGTTGAAGGCTGTGTAGTACGGAGTATAAAAAAATTCTAAATATACTTCAATAGTCAATTATCTACTTTGAACAGACTGATTGAATGGCGCTAAAAGACATGCTTACCAGGGTCATTCCTTCGCAACGGCTTCGAATGCGGCTCAAGTAGGGCTCGTCTCAGCTTCGTGCATGTATGAGCGGCCATGTGAATTTTGCTCAGTCGAGTGATGTGATCTCCATCGTCACTGCATTCTGTAGTGATGCTCTTCCTCTTTAATTTCTCTGACTGCTTCACCGTGTTGAGACAGGAATCATTTCGTATTCATCTCGTATTCACAGTATTGTATAGAGATTCACACGGTGTGGCCCGGATTCACGACTAATCGCTGCTCGGTCCTGTAGTATATAAACAATCATTTTTTCCCTCGTCTCGCGTGTTTCTTTCTTTATCATCCCTCTGATCTCACCAAGAAACTATCATCAGCTCGATAAGTCTATCTACTAGTATCTTCACTCGATTCCTTGGGCCTGGCTAGAAAGGGTACAACGAATGACTGGCATCTCTTCTAAATATGATATATGACTATGCCATATACAATGAATTGCTCATAGTTATAAGCTACTATCCCTGCTTTGCTATCGTGTTACTCTCACCAGTGAATGCCCGGAGTAAATGGTATTACCTTGATCCAAGAGTGTCGAATACATCTACAGAGTATTCGCATGTCCGGAGGATACACTTTAAATCAAGACATCAAAGGGACACCACGGGAAAATACCCAAGCTTAACAAAGTTACATCGTCGTCCCAAGACATAGAACACGACATAGATCATCGGGAATACCGTCAAGATCCTAAGAACCAAGGTCAAGAAAAGTATGTCATCTTCCTGCCTTGAGCTGGTGAGACGGCCCGCCAAAAGTGCACATGCTGACGTTTGCTCCAGCACTAGGAAACAGCGTTATGCCGCTTATCTTATCTCTCCACGTATACCTTTGCCAATAAGACATCGGAACCTGCTAGACGAATGTTCTAGCTGGTATGCTGTAACCAAGGCTATCGCGGCGTCGGTACAACTCATATTATATCTGGTCGGCGAGACTATCAACGCAGCCATACAGAACCACCCCAGTGGCTGAAGAGGCGTAATTCTCCACCCTTTGGTTGGTTTCACACCAACAAAGCGTATGGGCCAAGCTACCAAATCGACTCTTTTCTAGGAGCCCCTATCTCCAGGTGTCGGCCGACGGGCTGATCTACATGATGCTTAATATCTTCCCATCATGATATGGCCAGATCCCAACCACGGGCAGTAGCGCGGGAATGGATAACAGAAAGGGTCTTTTTGGCCAACTTCGAGTTATCACCGGGCCCTTAGAAGGCACATAACAGCAGCATTGGCCGAATGCCGTCTGTGGCTGCAAAACTGATTTAGGATATCTCGACATACATACCCCAGAGCACAAGGTGAAGAACTTCCTCATGTGGCACAAATATTTATTCTTTGGGTCTTGAAGAACAGGACCTGGGGTATAGATTTACTTTAGACCCATGTGAGTAGCAGCCTCGAGCACGCTTAATCTTTCGAGGCGATGCGCTATGGCTTCGCTTTTGAAGCACGCATGCAGGAAGCAATAGCCGACTGTGATTGGCTGCACCAAGACTACAAAAGAAACGCACATGCGGACAGCATTGCAACAATGTTCGAGGGCCGCGGTCGAAATACATGCCGATTAGAACAAAACCAAGCCCTTTGATGTGGCACACGCAAAACCATATTGCGTAAAGCTATGGCGAGATTGTCAAAGTCATGGGCTGCTCGGAACAAATTAATAGCAGCTTTAATCAACACTTATCAAACCACTTGCAATCCTTGGAAGCTGATCAAAGAATACACATTTGACTCCGAAGTCATTCTGAGCATAGAATGAACGACATTTGGTGTCAAATCACGAATCTGTAATGATATAGCAGCACCCACTGACGTTTTTATTCCACAAATGAAGACAGACAGTGAGGAGGATGAATGCACTTTTTTTAAGAAGCCTAGTAGTAACCTTACTACACGGCACATTGCCTCAACCTCTTTATCCGCCCGTTTTACGGCTCCATCCAGTACTCTTCTTGAACTCCGACTTCGTTCCTCTTCTTCCCTCTCGTTTCATGCTTGGCCATCAATAGCTGGAATGAAGCGATCCGGCACGCTGTAGCCGCCACACTGACCACCACAAGAATATTATAGAGCTTATTGGGAACGATGGCGAAGCCACTCGCTTGTGTGGATTCTAGTATTAACATCGGATGATGAATAAACATACTTCTGCATCACGCAGGCTGCTGCGACGAGTTGATGGTTGAAACTACGTTGACGATGGATGAAGCAACCCGCACCTGTAGATCAATGGAATCGGTTGTTCCTATACAACGGGTTCTCCAAAGAAGGATGCTGGGGTGTGTTGATCATCGAGATGACATGGACAATGGATGAAGCCACTCGATTCTGTAAGGTGGGGTTATGACGGTCCTGGCATTGTGCTTCTCCGGTCAATTATGTTGTCATTAACCTCTATACTGTGCTCTTGATATAAATCTCTAGGCATTATGGCATCCCCGCTCCGATCTGGATCTTCTATCATACTATTATCACTAGTAAATACTTCTAAGCTACTTAACCTAACATACTTACAAAACCGTCAAATCCTTGCCACCACCAACCCACACCACACCACCTTATCTAGAACTGACTATATTACAATACAACACAAAGTTGGTACAACACCTTGCCACGTTTAGACTAATCTAGCATAAACTAGCACCAAAATATCATCTCAAGGCAAGATGGCCGAGTTGGTCCAAGGCGTCAGGTTAAGGTCCACCTTAATAACCCAGCTTCACAGCTTCCTGATCATCGTAAGATGGCGTGGGTTCGAATCCCACTCTTGTCATATCTTTTTGGTGTTTTCGAACTCAACACCACGGACTACTGAGTGTGTATTCTGTTTTCATATCCATTGGTTATTTATTCGCTTTTATTTTAATATTATTTCCGAACTCTTGCCGATGGGCTTTTAGTAGATAGATGCATGCCTTGGGTAGTTCCTTATCTCACTGTGCTATTCCAAGTCAACCATCGTCTGTCGGTCTACCCTAACACCTGGAATGGTAATGTGTCTTGTGAGTAACAAGTAAGTAAGTAGATACATAACTGCCGTGGGGGCTAGCTAGCTAGCTAGCTAGTTAGTTAGTTACTCGCAAGGCTGACTGACATACATCACATCATTCACACATACACACTCTCGTCACTATCCACACCACAACACTACATACACCATGCATGCATCCATCCATCCCAACGAAACACCACCCCATTGGGGTCCAAAATCCATAATTATCCTTCCTTGTTAACTATCCATTTGTGCTAAAATCTGATCTACTGCAGCGTACACAACTAACTAACTTACTCATGTGCTAATCAATGTCAATGACCCAACAGCCAGCCAGGGTATCAAAGCAAGTAGTAGTAGATACATAAATGCCGCAACAGAAGTAAGTAAGCACAGCGGTTGTTTCAGATATAGTTCAATGCAGAGACAGCAGTCGACTTACTGTACTTACTGTACTCACAGACCACTAAGTAGCCGGCTGCATGATCATCGTTATCGCTGGGTCTATCTAGCTAGTTGGTTTCAGGTACAGCCTCAGCTGAAAGTGTCATCTGTAGATACTGGGATAGTGGGGATGAAAAGAGGGGTAGAAGACAGGACAAGACAAGGATAAGTCTAAGCCACGAATCGATATTTTTCTTTCTATTTCTTCGATGGGCTGAAGTTGGCTGCCGCTACGGCTACTATCAATAGATGCGGGCAAATAGATGGGGTAGCCGCTCACGCTAGACAGGGATTCTGCAAAGCCCCAATTACTATCAATCAAGGGTTGTGGATCACACTATACTCTGAATTGTGGCCCCCAAGGGCATGAAGTTATGGAAATAGATGCTAGGGTAATCGACATGCGCTCAATGCACTGGTAATGCTCCAACCAAGTCATCCTCACCCACCGGTTCAAAACAAATACCACATCAAAATCGACAGAGGCCGGGTTGTGTGATCACAAGAAACGTATTAAATTAACCACAAAATAATCCTGATCAATAGGACCGTAAATAGCCGTAGCACACCAAGGACACCACGTCCGAGAAGAAGTAAAGTAGAGAAAAAATGCGCAATAATCAATGGGGGAGTCAGAAAAAAAAAAAATCAATTTACAATCAGTACTATAGTGACAGGGAAAGGAAAACGAGAATTTGAACAAAGGAAATAAGGCTTTATGGAAAACAGGGGAAATTCGAATGCGAGATAGGGATATGTATGCGGGAACAAACGGTTGCTGGTACAATGCGAGGACAATTCGATAGCTGCAAGCAACAGAAGGGACGAATTTTGCGTGGGTATCACGGGGGTATCCAATTAACCATTTTGCTCTTCAATGCCGATTTCCAAGAGCTGGTCGCCTCAAAGGCCACCTCCAAACCGAGAGGCACCAATCGAGACCCGTCATTCCGTCGAACCCGTCCTCACTTCGAGAGGATCCTGGGTCTGCGGCGAATGCCAGAGCACCTGCGTCGCCTTCCTGGGCATTGCCATACGTTCAATTCCCGAATCGCAAGCAGGTAATGAGACGGGGACTGCTTGTCATTCGTCATTGTTCGACCGCGGTAACCAATTCTACACTGACCGGCTATGTCGCGTTCAGTGTTGTATTGTGACAAAATATTAGTAGATGAGCTCCAAGACCAAGA